GCCCTGTTGGCCGGGCTGCTGGTCCTGCCAATCCCAGCCTTTGTGACTCCGAGCACAAGGCTCCCGCATCGGCGGTGCTAGCCCGGCCCAAAGGGACAGGCGGGCGATCTGCCTCCATCTCTCCTGGGGGCAGAGGGAGCACCTTGTGACCCAGCTCCCACCCCCACTGGGGCAGCCCATGCAGGCCAGCTGGCACCCTGCCCTCTCCCCCAACACACAGAGCCCCTGAGACTCAGAGCTCCCCCTCCAGCACCGGTGCTCCACACTCCCAGCCCTGCCGCTGTCCCCTCTGTGGGGCTGGAGCACACAAAATCTGCCAGCCCGGGCCCCCCTAGGCTCTGGTGTGTGAGGGGAAAGTGGGGAGTGTTTTTCTCCTCAGTCAGGAGGCATGTCAAGGAGGTGTTTTGGGGGGGTTTGTTGCTTCGCTTCTCACTTGTGTGCAGCCCCCAACTGATTTTTTTTATGGGTCAGTGGCCCCCGACCCAAAAAAAGTTCCCCCACCCTTTCCCTAGGGGTTTTACCTGCTTCATAGTGGCTCGTCCGACTTCTCCCGCTAATTGCTTTTCTCTACCTCAGCAGGCAGGCCCTAATGAGGCTACTGGGACCTTGTGTCTGACCCTATCTCCCTCCATGGAAAACTGTCCAGCGCTTGGATGATTGAGGGGCTCCCATACAGCTCAAGTCTGACCCCCCCTACATGGCCCGTAGAGAGCTCCAGTGTCCTGGATATCTGAGCCTTTGACTTGCCCTCTGTGTTGCACACCTGCACCTTGTGCACCTGCAGCTGCTGGGGTGATATTACCTGGCACAGGTTACAGTCCTGAAGCAGTCTCTGAGATGCCCCTTCCTTGGAGTTCACCCTCCCCGACATTCGCCCTTGGGACTCCCTGGATTCATCTGCCCAACGTCACTCGGCCTGAGACAAAGGCTCCGTTGTTTGGTGTGGGGAGGGGAGTGCAGGCTGATGCTGCAGGATCCTTCCCCGGGACTGCTCAGATTTCCATGCAATTCTCAGTTCTCACCTGTGGCCCTGCATTAACACAGGGCCATTTGCTGAGCATCTGATACAGGTGACATGACATGGAAATTCATGGACTCAATCCTGATGTGTCTACTCCAGTAACCCCAGCAATGCCCCCGGCACCCTGTGCCAGCATGTCACTGCTACCAGCACAGTCAGAGGAATGATTTCCAGTGCTCTTGTGAAAATATCTCCCATGCTGGTTCAAAAGTTCATAGCTTTCAACGCCTTTCCAGGCTGTTCCCGTTATACATTCCAAAAAACATGGATGTACAGCGAAACAACGTAAAGCGGGAATGTCTTTGACTTGCATTCAAGTAGCTGGCTTTCGTTTGAGTGAATTTATCAATTTTTTTGAGCGATGTAAGATCGGGGAATGGGAGGACTTACAACGAAACAGTTCATAAATTTATCAAGGATGTTAGTGCTGAACTGACGTATACCAGGGCGACCTACAACAGGGATGGGCTGTATAAGAGACGTCCCTTCTTGAGCACCCTTCTGTGCAGAGCAGTGCTCTGAGGACAATTATATTGTATCTTCAGTAGATGTTCACTCCTGTTATACCACCGCCTTGGACTGGCCCTTGGATTGGTGACCTAAGTAACTAGACTGTACACGCAGCACTTATATATAAAGGGTGACATCTTAGTTCCATTGAATTGATGGGAATGTCACACTCCCTAGTGTCGTAACTAAGGCGCCCTAAGTTCTCAGTGCACAATGTCCACTGAAGTAAGGAGGTCAGGATCAGGCAGGGAAGTATTATAATCCAGAGAATGTATAGCTCCGCATCTCCTGTTAATTGGCTGGTTTACTCCAGCTGAAGATCTGGCCTTAGACAGAGGCCGGTGGAGAAAAATCTGATCTCTAGAAAATGGGTCAGAACAGCCAAAGTCCACATCTCTAAGAAGGAAACGAAAGTGCGACTTACCTTTGATGTCGTGCCATGTGCTCTACAGAGAGCAGAGGTTCCTTGGCCCCTATTTATGAAAGTTTGTGCAGCTCTGACTGTGCCAACGGGGGATTCCGCTGTGTGCTCAAGGCCCTGGTATAGGCTCCATCTGGTCATTTTCAGGAAAGCAAAGGTTTGGGCAGTGAAAAAATAGTTCTTCCTATCGGAGTTGATAATGATATCGCCAGCTGGACGGTGGGAGTGCGGGGTGGAAGGCAACATAGCTCTAGGAAAAGTTGCTAATCAATAACTGAGCAATAATGTATTCTGTACAAAATGGGGAATCACAAACTCTGAGAAAAGCCATAAAGCAAAATCATGGATCAAGCAAACAGCCCATGGGAGTTCTGAGGGCATGATGGGGATGGCGGGGGGGAAATTCAGTGCTGTCAGTGAAACATTTCCCAGGAGACAAAATTGTTCATGACAGTCTCTGTGTATAGCAGAATTTTCTGGGGAAATTGTCATTTTGTTCCGAAAGCCCTTTTTGGTCAAAAACCTCTTTTTTGCAAGCCAATGTTTACAAGGCCTGGGAGGTAGCACAGCTGGGAGGTAGCAGGTACTACTAGGCTACAGCCTAAAGCTGGCTTATGCTGCATTTCCCATGGTCCACGTTGGACACTGACCAAGGGAAGTTCCGCCCCCAGAGTCTGACAGACAGCAGCATGCTGACTCCTGATTGGCTGTCCACCCTCTATAAATGCAGCGTGGCGGTCCTGTAGCTCCCATGACTGTCCCTGAGCTTGAACTCTCGGCTTTACCTCAGCTTGATTAGGACGTTGCCCCATGACTCAGATTCTGACCCTTGGTATTGACCCCAGCCTGGAACCTGATTACGGATTCCCCTGCTACTCCCAGCCTCAGGTTTGCCCTTGGCCCTGGCTGCCCTTTTAGGGAGCCTGACAGCCCCGACTCATCTCCAGGTAATGGTCACTATCACAGCTGTGATGCAAAGCCTGTCATTCACCAGGGTGACTTTGAGGCAGGGACGTGGCACTTTAGTCCTGCTTGAACCTGTAAGTGGGGCCTAGGTCTTGTTCCGGCTTTCTGCTCTGGGTGAATTGGGGAGCTCTTTCCTCAGACCAACACACCTTTCTGTCTACACGGGTGAGGCCCTTTTGCGCAAAAGTTTTTCGGAAAAAGACTTTTGCCCGAACAGGAGCAGCATAGTATTTCCGCAAAAGCACTGACAATCTTACATGAGATCATCAGTGCTTTTGCGGAAATTCAAGTGGCCAGTGTAGACAGCTGGCAAGTTTTTCCGGAAAAGCAATGGCTTTTCCGGAAAAAGTGGCCAGTCTAGACACAGCCTAGGTGTTTTTGGAGTAGAACCCAGAGAGTCTTCAAACTGGTTTGTCTTGTTTTGTGGCAACCTCTCCTCCCAAAAAAACTAGACCACCCCAGGAAGGGGCTACTGGCCTCCTAAAGTGGCTTCAGCCAGATGCAAAGCAAGTGGTATGTTAAACAGTATGGTTGGGAGGGGTTGGCTGGCCAGCCAGTGCTCCTGTTTAAGGGACAGGAAGCGGCAGCTGGGGAGGGATTATTCATCGCCTTTGTCTTCTGCACAGAATACGGGACAAACGCCCATTGGATCTACCACTCCCTTGTCATGGTGCCCGATCGCCCCAGTCTGCCCCCACACCTGTGACACCTCTGCCTGCACTAGAGTGCAGCCACCCCTTTGGGATTGTCCTGGAATCTCCAGGAATGAACGATGAATCTCTAATTAAAGGCTATCATATGTGATGAAATCTTCAGGAATACACCCAACCCAAATTGGCAACTCTAGACTAGTTACACCCCATTCCTGGCCAGGACCCTCTTACTTCCCCAGTCGGTGGCTTGGCCCCAAATGCCTCTTTAAATGACGCTGGGAGACCCCAGCCTCTATGGCCCATTTCTAAATCTTCCTCCTGAGAGGATGGTCAGGAAAGAGCCCGTCTCAGAGGACATGTCCGCCTCAATTTAAATGCTGGGTAGTGGCAATCCCTGAATTTCCTTTCTCTCCCTGTTCTCATGCACACCAATGCGACTGGGAGAATGCAAGGCCCAGACCTTCCTGCATGGTGCTGTTCCTCACGGCCCACCACCCCAGGAGCAGGAGATGTCTCCATGGCTGGATCACCCCCAATTCAGAGCATCTCTGAGGTAAGAAACTGTGGAGGCTGTTCTAGGGCGGGTGAGTCAGTTATGCAACATAATGGGAGCTCCTCTGCCCTGGGCTCTGCTTGGTGCTTCTCAGCACCACTCCCAGCCCCATCACAGGGCAGCTCTCCCCGTGTTCCCTCTCCTTGGGCCGTTGTGAGCACCGCTCGGGCAGGGGCAGCTGCTTTTATTTACATCCCTTTCTCTGCCAAGAGCGTTTATCCTTGAGATGCAGCTGGCGAGTTTCTCACAGGGCTTGGCTACTCCCAGGGAGGGGACTGGCAGCAGAGTAGAGCCAACGCCAGCGGCCAGAGGTGGCAGAGCTGCCCTTTGCAGCCTCCGGGCGCCCTTTCTAGTTCCACAGGTAGAATTCTGGCTGGGTCATGGAAACTCCCCCAGCCGGCAGCGGGGGTTTCTAGCGGTGGGGCATCTGCACCTTCTTCCAGGCACATAACC